TGGTCCCGCAAATTTTATATGGCTGTGGAGTTTGGATAGAAGCTGTAGCGGAAAAATTAGACTCCCCTCTCCACATGTTCCTTAGAGACATTGCAGCAGTGCCGAGATGTGTGGTAGGCACGGCCCTTAGGGTGGAATTCGCCCAGCCATCAATTGAGAAAAGAGCATGGCAGCTGGCATTCACATTGTTTACCAACAAAGAAAGTGGAGGGGTTCCCACTAGTGGACCAGGCTTCGCGCACCTGATTCAGAGGGACACTCACATAAGTGACAGAACTAAGTTAATTCTCGATCCAAATTAGAATCTCTGCATTGGTAGTACCCCCCCACAGCAAAAGGAGGCCCTTAAGCTCATAAAAACTAAATTAAGGGAAGTGGACCTCAGCAGTACATTGTGTAGAGCCCGGCGTACATGCTCGGGTCTAGCCCTTGGCCTTCCACCGCCGTCGGTGATTCCGACTTATTGTTACACTTTCAAAAGTTCAGCACTGCGCAGAGCCTTCACGTTGGCTAGACTGAATACTTTTCCGTCGAATATAGTCTTGGGCCGCTTTCAGGGAATCCCGTTCTCTGAACGGCTGTGCGACTGTAACCTAGGTAGGGTGGAGACGATGGATCACATAGTGCTAGCTTGCCCCAACTGGAAGATGGAGAGGCAGAAGTATATTATACCTATCTTGACAGAAGAAAATCTCCCCTCCCTTCCCTGGTCAATTTCTGTTCTTTTATCCGACAGAGCTGATTCAGTCACCAAAGCAGTGGCCACGTTTTGGCCCTGGTGGCAAAAAAAAGGAACAAGGAGGGGAAAGTTCAAACTGTGCTGATTTGATGTAGCGGGTACCAGTTGGAAGAATTATCTCATGTGGTTTGACGATTTTAGCCAGTGTAACACACTCATATTGGGAAACGTACCCTATTGTCCATGTATGAGCTTTTTAAATAGTCTTGATGTTTTACTTGTTGGTTTTATTGCATAAATGTGTGTACGTGTGCTTAAGACTACTAGTCATGCAAGCCGAAATAAAATATATATAAAACATGTAACCACAGTATATAGATAGAGGTATCACTCAAATACGTCTACTTTGACTATGACAAATGATTTACCTCTGAATAAGTGGCTTCTTAAATCTCAATAGCAAACCAACACAGCTATACACAAGTAACATTCTTCTTCTAGGCTTTCTAACCACTCAAACTTCAGGAAGCAGTTGTTAGAAGCGGCACTTATTAAGCAATTTTAAATGACAACAAATATCGTACAGAAAAAAATGTTGGACACTTACTATGAAAGTTCCTTCTATTCTGAGGTAGGGAGGGCATCTTAACATGGGTGACTCCCATCAATTAGTCAAGGAGACAGGATTTAGATATCAATTTCCTGTTTTCACAGATGGGGGTCACCTGCTCAGCAGGTCCCAAAGCCACAGATCTCCTCAGTTATTTTATAACTTAAATTGACATGAACAGGTAAGAACATGAACTAGCAGTCAAAGGGGAGGAAAAACAGTGTTCAGAATATTAATTTGGAATCAATAGAAGATCAGCCATCCAGAGCTTCTCCCCTTTCATCCAGGGCAGGGATAAGATGCCCTCAGAGTAGAAGGAACTTCCACAGTAAGTGACCTTTCTCACTCTGAGAGGGACAGAATCTTTATATGGGATTTCCAATAGCAGTTTTTCTCATGTTGAATGGGAAGGGTGATTTTATTCTGGGGATACCACCTGCTGCAAAACCCTCTGACTAAAGGCAGCACTGGTGAAGGCAAGGGAATTTATTTTGTAATGCTTTACAAACATTGATGATGACACCTACGTGGCTGGCTTGCATATCTCAGGCATTAGCATTAAAGGGTCTTCATCTTGCAGAGCTGTGAATAGAATCGGGTGTAATGCCCAGTAGCACCGGAAGTTTTGGGGACAGAATAATGAGCTGTCTAGGCCACCTACTCAGCACTATCTTGGAAACTGTCTTCCCTAAAAACAGAGGACAAAATGATGTGAAGATATAATCTGAGTAACTTTTAGGCACAGTCCTGAGCAATACTCCCTCTAAACTGTGGAGTCCTGTGAGCAAAAATTTTGCTTTGTGAGCTACTGGCATTAAAGTTGTGAGAAAATGATTTGGCTACCGCATAAATTAGTTTGCTTTGGAGCCATCCTTCCTGAGCTAAGACAAAAATTTGTGAGCTGGAGGCTAAAAACTGACCTAGCTCACACTAACTCAGCTTAGAGGGAACATTGGTCCTGAGGTATATTCTGAGTGCCTTTTTTAGGTCTAGTGTATACCGGTCCTTCTCTTTGGGGTAACCTGTTTGGGGGCAGAAGCGATGAAAAACAAAGCTCACTTTGGAAGTAAAGGTACAGTCAGTTCTTAAGACAAGCTTATCTTTATGGAAGACAGAGTCCCTTCCTAGCTGACACTGTACAGTCAGTTCTTAAGACAAGCTTATCCTAGCTGACATTGCTTACAGTTCTGACACCCTGTTAACTGAGGTGACTGCTGTTAGAAAAAGAAACTTGAGAGTAAGGAATTTAAGGGATACTTCTCTAATTGTCTCAAAAGGAGGACCTGTGAGTGCTGACAGGACAGCATGAAGGCATCATGATGGAAATCTGTGAACTACTGGAAGAAATCGGTGAACTACCACTTGAATAGTCCCTTGAGAAAACAAATGGCATGTGGATGTCTGGTTAAAGATACTCCATTCACCTGCTTGAGTATGGTTGTTAAGTCAAGTACTTTTATTGCGTTGACACAAAGTCATCATAACAAACCTTAAGTATGGTTGACAGGGGCACTACCTGCCTGTGTTAGGCGTCAGCTCTCATTCTTTGATTTAAACCTGAATGAAGAATGTCTGGGACTTGTTGAGAGGGTGTTGTGAAGGGGTTACATCTTTTCCTTCTGCACCAGCAAACTGGCTTTCCAGGTAACGTTGTAAATCCTGGAGGTGGAAGGTCTTCTTGAGGACAGCACTGTTTCAGTCACCTAGTTTGGGTATCCCAGCTCTAGAAGATGTTGCCACTCAATTTCCAAGTGGCTAAATGTAGTCAGGCTGGATCTGGGTGCGATATTGGACCCTTGGGAGAGAATGTCCAAAACCATGAGATCCTCCATGGAGGGGAGACTGACAGCACACCAGACTGGAAAATCACAACCTGTGTGGACAATGGGGTGCCACACAGATGAGTGTGGCCTTCTCTGACTTGATCTTCCTCATGAGCTTCAGGATGAAGGGAAAGAACAGTATGCAAGGCTTAAGGACCAAGAAGAGGTCAAGGCATCGATCTGTGCTGGGTGCCTGGTATCTCGCAAAGAATGTCATTGTCTGACCGCTTAGGCTGCATGAAAAGCGATCTACCTCTAGTTTCCTGAACCTCAAGGAGATCTGATGGAATATTTCTGGTTTCAGTGTCGATCCACTGTGTTCAACTATCTGTCTGCAGAGCCAGTCTGCTTGCACATTCAGATGTCCTTGAATATGTTCTGCACACAAAGAGGTTAAGTTCCTCTCTGCCCATGCATGGAGACACAAGGGTTCTTGGTGAAGAACCAAGGACCTGATTCCTCCTTGCTTGTTTAAATATGCTTTGGCAGTTTAGCTGTTTTTTTGTCCTTACCAGCACACGGCTCTGATGTATGAGAGGTAGGAAATGTTGAAGAGCTAATCTGATTGCTTTGATTTCTAACCAATTGATTTTATTTTATTTTTTTGCCTTGTCTTGTCTGCTACAGACTCCCTGGACATAACTTTCCTAGCAAGAGACCCCCAACCTTTCAGACTGGCATCTGTCATTAGTTTGGACTCAATAGACTCTAACTTGGAATTAGGAACACTCTTCCCTGGGAGAGGTTATGCTAACTGGACCACCATCTCATACTCTGATGTAGGGGATCAAAAA